GCTTCACAGTTTAGGGTTTAGGGGTTTAGGCTTTGGGGTTAGTTAAGGGTTTAGGGATCAGGGTTTAGGGTTAAGGGTTCAGGCTTTAGGGTTTAGGCTTTATAGGGTTTAGGGTTCAGATCTTTGGCCGTCAAAGCATCCCATCATACCCTCGGTACGAAACTCGTTTGACCAGTCCAAAGCCAAATCAACAAAACCTCTGGAAATGCGCTAAACCCTAAACCCCTAAACCCTAAACCCCAGAATGAACCTCCCTGCAGCAAACATGTTCCCAAGGTAAGGGCTTGTCGCAGCTGCTGGCAACGAAGGTGCCTGACGGGTTTGTTGTTGGTATTAAATCCACGGACGCTGTGCCTAGGTGTCCTTTGATAGACCCTAAACTCGAAACCCCAAACCCTAGATCCCTGAGCCCCCAGGGAGCTTTGCGGTAATTCGGGTTTGGGTGTAGGGGCTAAGCCTTAACCTAGAGCCCCTCAATTGGGACCTCCCTTTTTTTCTCTGAACCTGAACCCTACACCCAACAGAATCCCTCTCACCCTACCAAGGTGGATCGCCTGGAAAGCCTGTGCCTACTGCTTGAGCTGCGGACCGACGTTAATGCTCGCAATGAGGCAGGCGACACAGCGCCTGGGAGATGTTTGAGCTCACCCAGAGTCTTCAAGCCCCAGGTAATTGCCGACCTGGTTTACGATTTAGGTTTTAGAGGTTTACGGGTTTAGGGTGAGAGAGAGAGAGAGAGTTTAAGGGTTTAGGGTTTAAGGGTTTAGGATTTCGGGTTTAAGGTTTAGGGTTAAGGGTTTAGGATTCAGGGTTCAAGGGTTGAGCTTTTAGGGGAATTGAAGTGCACGTGGCCCCTTGGCGTCGGTGGGGAAGCTCCTAGCTATAACCAGCTGGGCCCTGTCGTCTCCTGTAGTCAGTGTCATAGGTAGATTCGGAGGACCTCTCCCCACCCTGTAATAGTGGTAGAATAGAATATATATAGTTAGGGTTTAATGTTTAGGGTTTAGGCTTTGGGGTCGTACAATAGGAATACAAGAGGACTCTACTATAATCCTGATTATCCCTGATCGTCACTATTACTGGGTGGGGGCGGTCCGCCTAATACATGGACATCGAAGGGTGTTCCGCAATGCTGCTGCTGTCAGTCAGGGCGCCTAACCCTTAACCCTAAACCCGCTTCATGCTCTAAAGGATCCTGAGGTCTCAGGTTTTGGGTCAGTGTATGCCGCTCAGCTTACAGGAGGTTTGTAGAAAATAACAAGTTTTAATCCCGATAGTATATATTATATTCCCTTGTTATTCCCTACCAACAACCAGTAAGGCTGAGTAAGGCAGGATTTAGGGTTTACGGTTTCGGGACACTGAGGGTGTTGGGCTTTTGGGTTTCGCAGAAATATCCGTTCCTAGAGTAGTGTTTTGTGGGCTCTGGGTTACAAGGTTTGGGCAAAGGGTTTGCCACTATGGGGGTTTGGGCCCCTTTAGGCAAGCAAACAGAGGAAGACATTCGAGATGAAGGCTTGAGGGCTCATCCTAAACCCTAAACCCTTAAATCCTAAACCATAAAGGGCTAGGGCAACCTGAGGCCCAAGCGGAAGAGTGCCCACAACAAAGGAACTTAGCAACCAGGTTGTCCGGTTTGAATAGGGATGAACCCAGAGGGTCCATATATACAACTATTGGGGAATTAGGCCCCAAAATACCATACAATGGAAGGAACTATGGGTCCCAATTCCCTAATGGTTGTATATGTGGACCCTTTGGGGAAGGGGCTCTTCTTCGAGGCCGAAAGCTGCTACGATCGCACGCCTTCAGTATGAAAACGACGTCCTTCGGAGCGATGGAGCGGCTAGCACCAACCTGTAACCCCAATAACCTACCAGTTTATGGGTTATAGTCCCCCTAGAGTAGATAGAATATGGCTTTGGGTATATTATAGTAAGGTCCCCATATACCCCATATTCTATCTACTTGAGGGGGACTATATACCTACTAATTAAGGGCTACTTACTACTAAACTGTAGGTTACTGGAGCCACAGGAAGCTCGTGCAGCCCCGCCTGGATGCTGCAGAGCTGCAATTGGCGACAGAAAGAGCCATGGGCTCAGCGGAGCGCACAAGATTCGCTACCGCTTTGGAGGCGTTGAACGCAGATTTGGCTGAGGAGAAAGTCTCCCGCCAGGATGTAGCAAAGCGTTCCGCAGCGACCCAGATGTACAAGATGAAGTTGCAAGCGGACCAGAAACGACAACGCACTGAGATGCAAGTGGCTTCATCGGAGACGCGTCAGGCCGTTTCCATGAACGAGAAAGCTTCCTGAAGTCTAGTCAGGGCATGCCGCTGTTAAGGTCAAACTTATTTACGCCCATGTGCCCCTCTACAACCTTGGCGTGGCCCGAACTCAACCCTTACGCAACCCCATAGAATCTCACTGCAATCCCCGTATGATCTCTATGTGATAGGTTGTCAAAGCTATGGTCCCCGTGTGGGGTCCTGTTATAGTGCGGCCCCGAATGTTCATAATGGGCCACGTAGCTTTGACAAGCCCATGCCACAACCTTGAACCATCAGATCCTATACCCTAAGCCTTAAACCCCAAACCTAAACCTTAAACCCTAAAGCCTTAGCCTTAAGCCCGAAAAACCCTAAACCAAAAAAAGCCCCAAAAACCATACAACCTTAAGTGGGAAATCCTCAGCAAAGGCTTTGCTTTCAGCCGTGAAGGGAAACCGGATGGCTGCTCTGAGCCTGTTGCCTAGCACGCATGAAGGGTTTAGGGTTGAGGGGTTAAGGGTTCAGGGATTTAGGGATTTTAGGGCTGAGGGGTTAGGGGTTCAGGGGAGTTAGGGGACAGGGGTTCAGAGTTTTTGGGTTCAGAATTTGGGGTTTGGGCTTCTAAGGGTTTAGGGTTTAGGGGTCCAAAGTTCGGGGTTCGGGCTTCTAAGTCTCTAGTCATGCAAGGATTACAAAACATCACCATGAGGTCACAGACATCGCCCTTGCCCTGGGACCAAGAATTGGAACCTAAACCCCTTAAACCCTAACCCCCCTGAGCACCCTAAACCCTAAACCCCAAACAGTCTATGAATTGTAGCTGCTTTGCGCTGCTTGGGTCCCTGAGATCGACTTTAGGCTTCCAGTAAGGGTCAGGGGGATCAGTGCTGAAAACTGCTGCACATCATGTAGGGTTTAGGGTTTATGTTTTAGGGTTGGAGGGTCGCTGGGAATTAGCAAGTAGGTTCATAGTGGGGATAACTAGGCTTACTATACGGCTTATAGGGGTTATCAATGTAGTGTTTAAGGTTTAGGGTTTGTTTTCAGCCTACCTACTAAGTCCCCCTAACCTCCAAGTGCTGTCGTGAAGTTCAAGTCTTGGCTGCTTTGTGGGTAAGGGTTTGTTTGTCTTCCCGGCCTCATCCTAAACCCAAACCCCTAGCCTCACCCAAACCTTGCGACACGTAGAGTTTTAGGGTCTGGAGGCCATAGAACTACGGGAATCACACTTTGATATAAGCTATAGTCTAAACGGGGTTATATAAAGGACTATATAGTGGATGACTATAGTGGTTCTTCAGGGGGATATGAGGAGGTTAGACTATAGCTCATACTGTTTAGGTGTAGGGCCTGTGTTTCGCAGACATAGGGTCATTCAGGATTGGGGTATCAACTGTTTCTTTTCACCAACCGCCGTTCGTACCTAATGACCTTATCAGCAGAAAGCAACAGGGTTACGGTGTGACGAAGCGCAGCCTGAAAGAAGCCCAAAAACCCTTCCAGCTAGCATGGCGAGGTGGGATCATGCGCTGATTTCACTTTAAGGGGACCCATTCATAAATATGTTGGGGCGGGGGGTTTTGAAAGTACCCTAATTTCTGAACCCCAAACCTCAAACCCAAAACCCCACACCTCCCAAACCGTAAACCCTCCATCCCCCACCCTAGACCCCCCAACCCCAAACCCTAAGCCACCCGACCCTAAACCCTTAACCCAACTAAACCCTACTGTAGAACCCTGTACGTGCTCAGGGCTCGAAGCCTGACGTCAGAATACACACAGATACAGAGAAACTTAGGCCTGCCATGTTATTTGACCCTAGAAGCCCAGGTACCCATATAGTAGGTCCTTGGGTTATACATAGTAAAAAAATTATATAGGGACTTAAGGACAGGAACCCAATATATAGGTATCTGGGCTTCTAGGGTGAGCTATAGTCCAAACTCCTTAAGGGGGGGCTATGTAGGGGATCATATAGGAGGCTGCTAAGGGGGGTTATTAATTGGAGGAATACTAGGAGTTTAGACTAGAGCTTATTCAGGATTTAGGATCTAGGGGTTATGTAATGGGTTGCGGGGATATATAGGGCCAAGGGACAGCCTCAGACGTTATTCATGGTTTGGGATTTACAGGTTTTATGGGTTTCAGGGCTTATGTGCCCATGGCTAAACCCTAAACCGGCCTGTGCGAAAGACTCTTGAACCACAAAACCCTGAAAGGCTGCTCTCCGAGCGGCACGTCGATGTCAACGCTCATGACCCCAGGGGCGATACCCCGCTGCTGCAAGCCATCCGGAGCAGGACAGCTACTGCCCTAAGCCAGAACACTTATAGTCCCCCTTAAGTAGATAGAATATGGGTTGTATAAGGTTTAGGGTTGATAGAATATGGGTTGTATAAGTTGCCCAGCCCTCGGAATTCTTAACACTAGGCAAAACTTCGGTGCAAGCAGTGGTGCGTGGGTTGATGCTTTCGGAGATTTTATTGGGACACAAGGAGGCCTTTTCGGAGAATAAATTGGGATACAAACGATGAACTTTCGCAGAAAATTGCGGGACACAAGGGGTGCACTTTCCGGGCCTTTATTGGGCCCAATAACAACCATTTCTTCTCGAAATACGGGCCCAACAAATATCCTTTCTCCTGGAATTTCCTGGAAATACGCGCCCAAGGGACCGTTTTAGATCATGAAAAACGGGGCGCGTGTAGCTTTGATCAGAACCACAAATTGCGACTTGTGATGCACTTTCAAAATTTCAGTTGAGCCCAATAGCAGTCATTCTCTTCATGAAACATGAGCTCATGGCGTTCGGGGTGGTTCGGGATCGTTCGGGATCGCTCGGGAACGTTCGGGTTCGTTTGGGAGCATTCGGGGCAATTGGTAGGCCTTCGGGATCGATCGGAATCGTTCGGGATTGTTCGGGGATTGTTCGGGAGCGCTCGGGTTCGTTCGGGAGCGCTCGGGATCGCTTGGGATCGTTCAAGCGATCGGGATCGTTTGGGAGCCTTTTCGCGAGCGTTTTCGCGAGCCTTCGGGAGAGTTCGGGAGTTTTTTCGCGAACCTTCGGGAGCCTTCGGGAGCCTTCGGGAGCCTTGGGAGCATTCGGGATCGTTCGGGATCGTTCGGGACGTTTGGGAGCGGTTGGGAGCATTTGGGAACGTTTTGGCACGTTTTGGAGCGTTCGGGCCTGCGTTCTGCAGGGTTCCCAAGCACCCGAGCGCTTCCAAGCGCTCCCGGGCGCTCCCGAACGATCCGGAACGATCCCGAACGATCCCGAACGATC